AAGTGTTTCTGTTTTCTTTCCAATACATATTTCATTGTTTGTTTCAATTCGTTTTACATACTTCTATCAAAGCAGCGCTGTTTTTCTTTCTATATTTTATTTACTTTTTACGAATTTCTAAAAATTTCTTTTCAATTTTTAAGTTCGCTTTTTTTCTTGTTTGCAATTTTACTTGTTCGAAAAAAACGTTAAAGCTGCATTTCGCTTTGAATGTACGCGACTGTGTGTGTGTGTGTGAGAGAGATAGTTTGTCTTAGCGTGTGTGTGTGTGTGCGAGTGTTTTTATATTTTCAGCTTTGTTGAGTATTATTAGCTTAGTTTGTTATTATGGAAATATTTTTGTTTGTTTTCTTTTATAATTTTCGTTTTTATATATATTATATAAGCAAACCGTTAATTTCATACCAACCAAGTTAAGGAAAAGGTTTTCAAAATATTCTTTTCTCAATTTGTAGCTTTCTTTCATTCTTTGTTTTTCATACAATTTTTGTGTGTTTTTCTGTGTGCATGATTTTCTTTTAACTTTTCGTTACTGTTATTATTATGAACTTTGATTTTCGTTCGTTTTTTAAACAAAAGAATTATGGTTTATCTTGTTGGTGATATTGCTATAGACGCTCTATGTGTTTATAGCACCTTAGAAGTTAGGATTTCACAATTATGCATAACAAACGGTATGAAAAGGTGAACAAATCATGTAGGTCTATGTGTGGTGTGTGTGTGTGTGTGTGTGTGTATGGGTGTGTGTGTGTGTGTGTATTGAAGCTAACAAAAAAAACTAATTTAGAACAAAAAAATTAAGAACTTTTATAATCACTCAACTTTGGAACATTCGAAAAACATGCAATTTGTTGCGATCGCATTAGAATGCTTATTAACTAGTTTACTAGATTAGTTACTTAGTTAGTTAATTGCTGTTGTTGTAGATGATGATGATGATGATGATGTTGTTGTTGTTGATGTTATTGTTGTTCTGTTGTATCGAGCGTTGCTTTAATGTTTGTTGTTGTTGTTGTTGTTGGTGAACCAACTAGGCGGCTAGTGACGTTGTCATTGTGGAAGAGATAGAAAGAGAGAGGGAGAATTAAACAATAACTGAAGCTCAACTGTAGAATCTACTTACCTAGATTATTGTGGTTGTTTTTTACAATGTTGTCGTTGATGATTGTGTGTTGTTGTTGTTGTTTGTTGTTGTAGCTGCCGCCATTTGACTAACAAACAGTCTGTGTATGAGAGTCTGTTATGTGCGTTTGTTATAAAACAAATAATAAATATAAGTGGACATGTAAATCCATATGTTTCTGTGTGTGTTGTGTATATGTAAGTGTTTACATATATAAATATATATATATGCAGATACACATAAAATGTATCAATGTATATATGCGAAAATAGTATGTAAAAAGGGAGTTACTTGTGCTTCTGCAAATATTTGTTTTCTATTCATATTCTGTCGTATGTTTCATTCGTCAATTGTTGCCATTTGAGTCCGCGTTGTTCTTGTTGTTGTTGTTGTTATTGTTAATATTATTTTTAAAGTTGCTTGCCCTGTCCATTAGCAACGTTCTGGCCGTTGCCTTTTACACTGTTAGTTAACAGCGCTTCGACTGTTAACAGCAGTGCTGTAACATAGAATCGATTAAATCGTACGATTTTGATGTACGCATATATATCTTTGTTTTTTGAGCAGACACAAGCAAATAGACATATCCTCTAGATTGCATATGCATGCTCTTTATAAAATTAAAGTGAGTTTCATACATATATATATATATGTTATATATATATAAATAGGCATATCGAATTTGTATACGTGATTCGAACGACTCGAAGTTTCGAGTCCATTCTTAATTATGACTTTTTATTAAATCGCGTATATAAGTGTGTGTGTATAAGTCTGTATGTCAGTGTGTGTTTGTGTGTGTCTGTATGTCTGTAGTTGTATGTTGTTGTTGCTGTTGTTAATTCTTCCTCTTCCTTTCTGGTTCTGCCACCTCTTCTGCTAGTTCTTGCCGTTGTTTGCTTGGTTACATCTCTTACATTTGGGTATTGCAGTTTTTGGACTCTGGAAAAAGACAGGATTTATGGGCGAACCACCTTAATGCTGGCCAGCCTGCTCAATGGCAGCGCCCGGTCCAGGCCCAGCCACGGCTGGTGCAAACTGATGATGCTGTGTCGTATAGTAGGTGGCCGGCATATTGAACTGGCTGGCATAGGGATTGGTGCCCGGCGCAGCGGCTGTTGTCAGCACGCCGGACGCATCGTACATGTAGGCGCCCGGTGCGGCCGCCACCTGTGCACGTCCAGCTCCACTGGCAACAGCGGCCGCCGCAGCAGCCGCCACAGCGGCTATTGGTGGTGAATTGGCCGGCGTATAGTGCACCATCGGTGTGGTGACACCAGCGGGTGCATACTCCTTGAATGTCTTGTCATCGGCGCCAGGATGTTGTTTTGGCTTCTGTTGTTGCTGCTGCTGCTGCTGTTGCTGTTGGGCCTGCTGCTGTTGCTGTTGGTAGTGTTGCGGCTGCTGTTGCTGCTGCTGCTGTTGGTAGTCACGTTTCGGGTACTGCTGGAAGCGCGGCATTCCAGTGCCAGTGGCCGCTGCATTTGGCGGCACGAATTGTCCACGGCTACGATAATTGGGCTGCATAAATGCGCCGCCCTGCTGGCCCAAATGCGGCTGGCCGGCATTCACGTGCGCTCCACCAGCTCCGCCGGCAGCTCCGCCAGCCCCATTGTGCCCCATAATGGCACGCGGTCCGCCATTGTTGAAGGGGGCGCGCGGACGATATGTGGCGTTGCCGTTGCGATTGGCACCATCGAGACCCGGCTGCTGATTGAGGGCAGTGCCAACGCCTCCACGATTCCAATTGCCAACATTGCCGGCGATGCCATTGGGCTGATAACTGTTGCCGCCAGCGGCATATTGCGGCTGATAGCCGGTGCGATTGGCGTAGCCATTGTTGGTGCCGCCGCCGCCGTTGTTGCCCGCCTGATAGTTGAGCGGATTGCTGCGCTGCTGATAGACATTGGCCGTGTTGCTGCCGCCGCCGCCGTTGCCGTTGCTGTTCCAGCGCTTGTTGCCGCGATAGTTGGCCGAGTTGGGCATGGCGCGTGCCAAGTCGAGCAGCTCCTGGGAGGGCGTCTGTCCGGCCTCCTCCAACACCGAGATCAGCTCACGGGCCTGCTTGGCATTGTCCGGCGTAAAGAATGTGTACGCCGTGCCCAGCTGCTGGCACCGTCCGGTGCGTCCAATGCGATGCACATAATTCTCCGACGAATTGGGATAATCATAATTGATCACATACTGCAAATCCTCAACGTCCAGGCCACGTGATGCCACATCAGTAGCAATCAGTATATTCGACTTGCCATTACGGAAATCCTTCAGCACAGAATCGCGTTCACTCTGCGACTTGTCTCCATGTATCGATGTGGCTACGTAGCCCTCGTTGCGAATTATCTGCAATATGTCCTCCACCTGCAAATTGACAATTGTTTAGAGTGCTGACCAGTTATGCCTGATATCTAGCTATCTATATATACTATATCATTATCTAAATCAGCCCCATTTTGATTTGGCTCTAGTCAGTGAATCAGTGGACAAACAACAAATTGTCATTTGGTATAACGAATGGAAATAGCTAGACTATGCGAAGGACTTGGGTATGAAACATCATAAACTATATACTGCCGTAAGATATACTAAAATATATGCTATTACAGGTATTCTATATTATAGTATAATTTATTTACTAAAATCTTGAACTTGGCTTAAGCTTCGGAAACCCTCTTTACAAATACTAGTACATTGGATTTATTTAAACTCTAACCTTAACTTTAACTATAGAGTCCCTAAATCTATTTTCCTTAAGCTTCTTTTACCGATTTCATCTGGATCTATTATATAACAGTAATATAATTTATAGTACATTTGATGTAAGCTATACTTAATTCTATTTGCCTGAAACTAATTTATACATTAGAAGAAAACTTGTACAATTGAGTTAAGATCCACTGGAATCGATTTCCCTGAAATTGCCTTCTCTTTTCTTCCTTTTGATAGTAAGGTTTATTACCTTATCTTAATTTAAGCTCAAAACAAGTCGACTGTGCTTAAAACGTCTTTCCTGAAACTTCCTTTACAAATTTGATACTAAGGACTCGACTTAAATCTATTTTCCTAAGCTTTCCAAGCTCCAATTTCCTGAAACTTGCTTCCTTACTCACCTTGATTTTAGTTTCCACAAATATGATAATTTTGTTGGATCCACCATTATTGGATGGCGACGTGATCTCCTTGAGCAGTCTAACCAGGAGCTGCGGCTTCTCGTTCTCATTGCAAATCTCGACAATCTGACGTATATTGTGATTGGCTGACAGATTCATGGAGCCGATATTGATTTGAATGTAATCATTGAGAAAATCACCGGCCAAGGCCTGCACCTCCTTTGGCCAAGTGGCCGACCACATCACAACCTGACGATCCGGACGTATCTGTTCAATGATCTTGCGTATTTGGGGCTCGAAGCCCATGTCGAGCATACGATCGGCCTCATCCAGGACCAGATATGTGCAACGCTGCAAATTGGTATTGCGATTCTCGAGGAAATCAATTAGACGTCCGGGCGTCGCAATGATGACCTCAACGCCGCGCTCCAAGTCACGCGCCTGCGGCACCTTGGAGGAGCCACCGAAAATGCATGTGTGACGAATTTCGGGCTTGCACAAATGCCCATAGTCCCGCACAACCGACTGAATTTGCTGGGCCAGCTCACGTGTGGGAGCCAAGACCAAGGCAATGGGTCCCTCGCCTCGCATCAACGGCGGCTGGTTGCTGATGTGCACAATGGCAGGCAGCATGTAGGCTAACGTTTTGCCGGATCCGGTTTGGGCAATGCCAACCAAATCGCGTCCACTTAAGGCAATGGGCCAGCCCTGGGCCTGGATGGCCGTTGGCTTTGTGAAGCCTTGACGCTTCATTTCATCAATAATGTGCGGCGGAAGGGAGCTCTCCTCGAAATTGGCCACCGGATGGGGTAGCTCGTTGCCCGACACGGTTATCTCCAGCTCATGGCGCATCTCGGCCACCGCCTGCTCGCTGCGATTCATCGTATTAGGATGCATGATATAGAAGTCCTTTTGAAATGGTGCCAAATTCTCCCATTGCGGCTTCTCCAGATTGCGGCCCGGATTCTTGGCCTTCTCGCGTTGCAATTCGGCGCGCTCCTCCTTCGACAGCATGCCCAATGCGGCTGCATTGTAATTGGCACTGCCGCCGCCATGATAGCCGCCGCCATTGCCCAGGCCATTGTGGGGCTTCTGATAGCGTTGCGTATAGCTTGGATTCTTGGTGCGCGGCGGACCTTGGAAGGCGATGCCATTGGCGCTAGCGAATGCGCCATTCTGCATGGCATTGCCGCCGCCGGCGGCGCTGGTGCGATACGGATTGCCGCCGGCGCCCATGCTAATGCCATTTTGGATGCCATAGGTCATCACGCCGTAGGGCTGGCCAAAGTGCATGCCGCCAGCAGCGGCACCGCCGCCGGCACCATTCAGAGCCGCAGCATTGCCAGCGGCTGTGGCAAAGTTATTGCGCGGATAGAAGGGACGATCGTGGCGCGGTCCATTGCCGCCGCCAGCAGCTGCGCCGCCGCCTCCGTTGCCATAATAGCCGCCCGTGTGCTGCTGCTGAACGCCGCCAGCGTTTGGTGCATATGCGCCTGCGTACATGGTTGTTACTCCAAACACTTCCGTCTCTGCGTATGTGTGCGTGTATATGTGTGGGTGTGAGAGTATGTGTGCGTGCGTGAGTGTTAGCTGTGGTATTGTGTGGGTGAATTCGCGTCTGTATGTGTGCGCGTATAATTGTGGATGGCTGTTTATTTTGCTTTGCTGTTTACTAGCTTTCCTTTGTCCGCAGCTTTCAAGTCCGCCTATTTATACAAAAAAAAAATACAAAATAAATCAAATATTCAATTACAATCAATGTTATTAAGGCATGATATCCGTTTTCAATGAGCTCGGGGAATATAAATATCCCTGCACTTGACCGCAATAAAATAAAATATCGAATAACAGTGCTCTATTAAATAACATTTGTTACACTATTCAACTGTCGGCCATCGCAATGCATGTGAGTGTGTGTGTGTGTATGTATGTAAAGCTGCTCTACGCATACATCCATATGAAAATATTTATTTAATTTGAAACTTTACACAGAATAAATTGTCATCATAAACAATATGTATAATTTGATATGTATTCATTAATTGTTTACTATGTCAGAAAATAATAAGAAAATACAAGCAAAAATTCTCATAAATTTAAGGAACTCATAAAAATATGTTGTTCACATAAGATTAAAACAATACACAATAATTACCCGTTGTCAAATTTTAATATTCGCTTATGTCAAATATTTAAAGATCAAGTTTAAAATTTTTTTACAATTTTCTTTTTAAGTTTGTCCTGTCAACTTCAATCAACGTTTGCTGAGTTGTTTGACAGAGGCGGATGCGGTGCACATGTATGTGTGCTGTTAATGTTGACAAATTACACACATAGATGTATGTTAGCCGATATGTATGTATATGTGGGCTATTTGGACATGCTACTTTAACAGTTAACATGCCGTATGCACTGTTTAAACTTTGCTTGCAATTTGTGAATATGAAATAAAACAAACGATTGCAGAGTCAATGCTGTTAACATTAAATTAACATGTGACATGGCTACCGCACAAACACAAACACACACATACGCATACAACAGAGTCCCAACTGTATTTAGTGTATTGAATTAAATTTTTATTCACTTGGAATTGGATAAAATCATGTGCTCGCCGGCACCTAAGCGGCGTATGTCCTTTGCAAACAGTATTATATACAAACATCTGAGCTTATTTATATACGCATCTACATACATATGTATACGTAAAAATATACCTTTGAACGCGGAATTGCACTTAAGTGTTGATTAGTTTAGTTGTTTGTATGTCTGCAATTGAGGCAAACAGCAACAACGACGACGACGACGACGACGACTACGAGAGAACATTCGTTGCTGTGTTGCTTAATTCCATAAACTGCATGTAAAATGTACCATAACGGCGAGCCCCCTCCTGCCTCCCTCTCTCACTCTACCATTGACTTATGCGGCATAACGCTCGCGCAAATAAAAAAAATCAATACAGCATCGCCAACGGCCGAGCAAAAGGGAAGAAAATATGAACAGAAAGAGAGCAACACGCAGAATGGCACACAACACTAACGTTTACACATACACACACATACACATTTACTAACGGAGCTCTGTGTATACATATATGTATCTACATACATACATAGGCACAAATCGTAGCACATTTACTTACCCTTTATTTTTGTGTTAGTTGTTGACTTTAAATAATTTGGAGCTACTTTGAAACGTTGTACAAAATATTTGTCGTATTATGGTCGTACTAGATGCGGTCGCGTGTAAACTTTTATGCGGATTTCGAGAGAAATTTGTTTTTTTTTTATGTCGATTTTTTTCGTCGTCACGCCTAGTGTAAGAAAACTAGAGCTAGAGCTTGAAATTAATTGCTTTTAACACTGAAAACTAACTTTAAAGCTAACTAAAAGTGTACTTTGTTTTACACTATGTTATGAAAAACTAAAGCCTATTACTTTTCTTGTGTATTTGTATATATATTTTTACAACAAAAAAAGTTTTGCAAGATGGTAATTTCAGCAATTACCACCAATGTGAAAGAGAGTTGCAAGCGCAATCTGTTATCGTATTTTCAAGCGATAGTTATCGATTTGGCGATATATATTGTATTTTCTGTTGTGAATAAACCTGCAGTTGCGATGTAAGCCCGTATTTTAACGAGTAAGCGTGATTCTCAGTGATCAGTCACCGTGATAAATAACTGCCTGATATTCGAAAGACAATGCGCACCCATATGAATTAAATCTTTATTTACCTATCACAACATTTAATCTACATTTAACAATTTGCCCGACTTCAATTGGAGGCCAAAGCAATCAACAATTTCCGGCGATTGGCATCTAGCCTATGGAGAAACTTCTGTACGCGCAGGCTATAGAATTCACTGGCCTTGGCCAGTTGTGCGCTATGAAGGCGTTCGCCACGTTTAAACCGCTCCATCCGACATCGATCGCACTGATAAGCCACAATGCTGGCTAGGAAGTTCCAGATAGTTATCTGTGGCCACAACACATCCGTAAAGTACAGCACAGATGAGCTCAGCTGAAAGAGATGAAATTTAAATCCAACTATCAGCGCTTATTAAATGGGATATCTAGAGCAAACTTTGTTCAACACAAAAGAGACAAAATAGCTATAGTCTATTCGAGATTTGCTGCAAAATTATGCTTACTCTCTCATTTGGTCCCATAAATTCTGAATTGAAATTTCTCACGTCTTAGCAAGGAATCAGAAATTTTATGTTGACAAAGGTTGTTCTAGATATTAGTTCCTGTGGATTCAGTTTGCTTACCTGCCACATCATAAAGTCGCTCAGACGCGTCTCGCCGGAGGTGCGGAACACCATGTCCGGCGGCGGGGAGTGACGTGTGTAGAGGCATTCCTCAAGCAGTCGTTCATTGATATCGGACGGATGCAATGGCTCATCATCGGCGGGCTCGTCGCTCTTGAGCACAGATTCGACAGCCTGGGTCATTTCGTCGCGGGAAGTATAGGCAAAGGCGACATTCAAGAACAGCTTGTCATTGTGCTCGGTACGCAGCATAGCCGTCGCAATGTGGCGCTGCAGATCTTCGGGTAGCAAGAGAATGTTGCCAATGACACGAATGCGTATGCCGTGCTCATTCAGGCGATTGGTCTCCTCCAGCAATTTGGCAAACTTCTCTCGGGCCAGATTGAACAGACCTTCGACCTCTTCGTTGGAGCGCTTGAAGTTCTCGATGCTAAAGGCGAACGTTGTCACCTCCTTGATGCCCAGATCCACACACCAGCGCAGCACATCGGCCAGTTTGGAGAAGCCACGCGTATGACCCTCGATCTTATCAAGCTGCTTGGAGCGGGCGAATCGTCGATTTCCATCCATGACAAATGCTATGTGGTTGGGTATTCTGCCGGTTAATTGCAGAGTCTGCAATGCCAACTTTTGTAAACATGTATAGCGGTAATCCGAAATCCACGACATCGTTCCTAGCCCGTTCCAAATACACCTTGTGACAGTCAAAAATAAATTCTTATCGAGTGCAACAGTTGCAGTTAGACATTATCGAATATACAAGTTTTAATTGCGATAGATTTACTATCGATTGCTTATGAATCAATTTATAAAATAAATACATTTTTCTGAGTCATTAAAATGTTATCATAAACAAATTGTACAAATATATATTTTATTGTACTGACCTTTGAAATAATCACTAGATACTTTCTTTTAACTGCATAGGCCCTCAAATGGTGTCGATTGCTTAGCACCGAATTAAAAATCAAATATCTCGAAAATAAGCCGTTTAAAAATTATAATTTTTAAACAAGAAATAAATATTCTCGTCGACAATATTCCAAATCGCGATTTATAATTCACCGATAGTTTTGTATTTGGTGCGCAATCATTTTCTATTGCAACCGTGGGCAGATTTTGACAGTTCTCATGCTTATTGTGAATTAAGTGGCAACTCCCCTCTGACAGCTGCTACATAGCCTTCTTTTTTAATATCCGGTTCACGCAATTGGTTCGTGTTGTGACATTCTCTCGATTTTAAATACAGAAAAAAACATTTTAAGCCCTAACTTCAAAACAAAAACATGAATAGCACAATAGACATTAAGTGCAATATAATTACCGCAGATTTGCGGCATAATTTCCTGTTTTTGTTTCGATTTGCTCCAGCCGCCATGGCAGCTTTTTGTTTTGTTTTTTTTTTGGTGTGCCATGTGCCTAGCATATGAAGAATGTGAAAATACGATTTGTTGAACTATTGTGTAAATGCTTCTTCCCAACAGTTGCCGATCGTTCTTAATTGCTGCAGAATGGCTCCCAGGAAGGCTAAAGTTCAGAAAGAGGAAGTGCAGGTCTCGCTTGGCCCACAAGTGCGTGATGGCGAGAACGTTTTCGGCGTTGCCCACATCTACGCCAGCTTCAACGACACTTTCGTGCATGTTACCGACTTGTCCGGTCGCGAAACCATCGCACGTGTCACTGGTGGCATGAAGGTCAAGGCTGATCGTGATGAGGCTTCCCCTTACGCCGCCATGTTGGCCGCTCAGGTTCGTCTTGCCAATATCGATATGTGTGTATAGAATTTGCAATAATAATATTGAATTTGGCTTCTTTTAGGATGTGGCTGAGAGGTGCAAAGTTCTGGGCATTACTGCTCTGCACATTAAATTGCGCGCTACTGGCGGCAACAAGACCAAGACACCCGGACCCGGTGCCCAATCCGCACTGCGTGCCTTGGCCCGTTCATCCATGAAGATCGGTCGCATTGAGGATGTTACACCTATTCCATCCGATTCCACACGCAGGAAGGGCGGTCGTCGTGGTCGCCGTCTGTAAATTTTGCAGCATACAATGCAGAAAATTATGCACATTATGTTCATGTATTTGTATGTTTCTAATTGATGAATACATTGTAATAAAAATCTAAAACACCGATATAAGCTTTAGCTTAAGTTGTAAGAATGGTGAGAGCAGTTCTCCGCTAGGCTAACACGTCAGGTCATGGGCATTTAATTGGAGCTAAAAAAGGCAAGGCTTCAAAATATTCAAATGGGTGCTAAGCATTCGCAGCTAGCAGGTTCGCCCTTCTGGCTAGTCATTCCAATAATTTAATAAATGGTGCATATAATTTACAAGCGTAGTGGCCGTTAGAAACACAAGATTAGCTTACGGCACTTGGCCGTGATCAGCATACCTGCGACATATATTATCGATACCTAACATAATATCGATATTGTTTAATTTTTTAGAAATCTACCATCCCTTTAAAAGCAAGTCGGCAGGCGACAGTAGGTGTTTGATTCTCGTGCCGGTAGTTGTAAATAGTTTAGTTTTTAATAATAATAATGAATGACGTTAGCCTGCGCGTATCAGCTTTAAAGCTGTGCGCGCATCCAAAGCGATTTAGCGAGATGCGCAACGCACTGGTCCCACTGCCGTTGAAGTGGCAAAACTGTGAGTACAAATAGTGAATCCACAGCGAATTGCTGGCGACTAACGTGTCTTTCACACGACACGATGTCTAGCAACAATCGACTATGTGGAGGAATTCGCTCAGGCCACCAATTGTGCCAAACAGCTGTCCATTGTGAAGGATGCGTTTGAGAATCCCCGTTCATTTCCCTTTCTGGCCGATATCCTATTCGTGTGCCCCCTGAAGCATCCCGTGCGCGGCGTTGTGACCAGGTATGGGATTTGGTTATGATTTCAGCCCCATTGGCATTTTGCTAATTTCCCAACCTCAAACTCGCAGACTATTCTCAAATGCCGAGTGCAGCAAACGCTCCCCAATCACTCACAGCAGGGAGCGCATATTGAGCGCCCTACGTGGTGCCCTACGCGAGGTGTCCGTCAATATCAACAGTAGCTGCGCCTTCGCTGACGACATGAACGACCTCTTCGTCTCGGTCAGCGGCTGTCTGCAGAGCTTTCCGTTTGGGCGCGATGCGCTGGCCCTGGAGATTTACTGCTTCATACCATTGGTGCCCAAGGCTATGGCCCTCTTCTGGGGCTTATTAAGGTGAGCTGGCAGTCAATTAAAAAAAAAATTGTTTGATGGCATTGTTCTAGCTGACAATTTGACAGTAAGTTTTTGACTTTGACAGCTCTTCTCCAGGATGTACCAGGCTGACTTGCAGTTATTACGAATCATCATATTTGACAGTTGGCTTTACACTTTGACAGCTCATCTTTGTGAATTAAGAGGCTATGGAAATTTAAACAAGTTGCCAAATAGGTTTAACTAGGCGTTAACTCTGCAGTCAAATGAATTTAGCCATGTGTTAAGGAATTATCCTTAACTACTCTCTCATCTTATCTCATCTTATCTATGCTTATTAAAAAACTGTCAAATTTTCAACTAGCTGAGAAATATTGTCATAGCATACCATCATGGTTATCCAAAATTTGGCTCCATTAGGCTTTCAGTGGGTATTTGGCTGACTTCTTATGAAATTATTAGATTTTATTGTATTAGATATTAAATTTTCTTTAATTCTCTTCAAATTGCTTTGCCATAACGAGGTTAATTATTGTAGATATAGACAGACATAGTTAAATATTTGTCAGTTAGTTGATAATTTGAAAAGTATTTTTTGTTGAGTATAGAGCTTATATGATTTATCAGAGACCTTAGCTTTCCCTTGTTAGGGACAACATTGCATGAAATCCAGTTTCAGATCTTGAGATCCAGATTCGCATTTAACTCTAAATTTGCATCTCTTTATGTTTGTATTGCAGTGACACAGGCACACAGATCTCTCCGACTCGTCGCAACGAGTGTTACTTATATCTGCAGAATCTGTTGCGCTTCCACGTCAACTTCATGACTGAGTTTAAGTCGGAGCTGATGCCTGAACGTTGCAGGCCATTGAAGTCTATTGATGCGATTGCCGAGCAGGCATCCCGTAGTGTGGATACGCCGTGGGATGTGCGCGCCGTTGCCGGCCTCGCGATTGGCCATAATGCGCGTCTATTTGGTGATTTTGCAAATTATCTGCTCAAGTGTCAATCTCTGAATGAATTTAACGATTTGCCCATGAAGGCCGCATCGCTGCTGATGCTGCAGAAGAGCGACTACGGCACCTGTGCTGCCCAGGCACTGGATATACTGAAGCGCACCTTGGAGCATGTCGATAGCGCCAGCAACGTTAGCAACTTTCTGGTCTATTTGTCCAAGCATCTGAATACCTATTCGAAATCGTTGGGCGGCATTAAGTTAACTGATCGCCCTCAGATCATGTACAGCCTGATATTGGCCATGTTGATGCGCTTCGCCTTGCAGCACATCTCGAGCAACATCGAAACGATACGCCACATGTGCGCCAGCCTGCTGCATCAGGTGCTCCAGCACAGCAAGGCGGCCGGCCAGACAAATGTCATTGCCCAGGTCTATGCCCAGTACGAGCGCCAGCGCATGCCGCTGCCATCCGTTTGCCTGATGCTGCAGCAAGTGGTCGAGGTGTTGGGCGTCCAGGCGGTGATGATGAATTGTCCAGGCATCTTTGACAAAATGTTTCCCGTCCACCTGGGGCGCGAGGACAGCGTGAATGCGCTGTTCAAAAGTAAGTCTCTCTCTCTCTCTCTCTCTCACACACACACACACACACACACACACAAGTTCATTCACATCAAATCGAATTCAATTGCAGGCATGATGACAGTTGCCCACAATGAGGAGACATCCAAGGAATGGAGGCGCCTGTGGTGTTCGCTGCTTTATAGGGCAGCTGTGCCCTGCGACGATCGCTTGGTCTGCATTGAGCGCCTGATCAAGGTGGCCGTTCACCTCGATGATGAGGTGCTGCCCGAATTGATGAAACAGCGCCATCTGTCAATCAGCACCAAATTGGCAGCCATGCTGACGGCACGTCGTCATGGCCAGCAGCGTATGGTCAAGGCGCTGATGGCCGATCATCTGGATCAGCTCAATGCAGCGCTGGTTGGCGTCGATGACAATTCGCGGCTGTTGGCCCTCTCCTTTGTGGTCGATACGCCCCGGCTGAGCGAGTCATATACGCAATTCGAGCTGGACTCGATCATTACCTATATTGAGCTGAATGCCAACAATCCCAATGCCCATATGCGCCAAATTGGCCACGGCCTCTTGCAGAAGGCGGTGAAGCGACTGGAATATAATCTGGCCCAACAGCTGAAGGACAAACCACTGGCCGTAAATGAAGATAACATGCTGATCATCTTTGTAAACAAGCTCGTCCACTTACTGGCCATGAATCTGTTTCCCACTGCCAACTACGGCCGGCGCTGGCTATCGCTGCGCGTCCTGGATGATTGCATCGAAATGATGGAACGTCTCAATTTGCCCTGGAGGCAGCGCATGCCGCCACAGTCGTGGCCCTATTTGGATTACTGTCTGCGCGACAGCTATGAGCACAACAAGGTGCAGGCCGCCCTGCTGTTGGCCAAATTGCAGACCTGCTGTCCGTATGACCCAATGGACATCTTGGAGCAGCTGAAGTCGGTGCGTGTGACGGACTCGTCCACGGCCGTCTATCGCCTGCAGGTGTACTGCAAGGCAGCCGAGGTGGCGCTAGCGCCGCCCCTTAATGATGATGCCGTCCTGCCCAAGCATCATGCACGCGATTATGCCATCCTACGGATGTGCATGGACCATTTGCGGGAGGGCGCTGCCGCGGCCGAAAGCGATTTGACGGAGGCGGCCCAAACGAATCCGTTGTATGGCCTGCTCTTCGCCAGCCGGCATTTGTTGCTCCAACTGGAGCTGAAGCCACTGGCCGAGGATCAGCTCTGGTTTGAATATATTGAGGATCTGCTGAACATCTGTGTCACAATCACTAACATTATGCTGCCCATTGTGGGTAGTGATTCGCCGGAAGGTATGGTCCCGGGATCACAGAAACCAACGGCGAAACCAATCTCGGATCCCGATACTCAGGCCGAATTGGATACGCTGTCGCTGCTGCCGCAGATGGTGTTGCTCAGCGCCTGGCGCAGCATCAAGGAGATCGCCCTCATCATGGGCGACTTGGTGCAGCGTGCTCCGCTCCAGCAGGAGCGTAAACACAACTATTTGCTCAGCCAAGAGCAGGTGGCGTTGATTGGTGAGCAGTTCATATTGCTGCTGGCGGATGTCAAGCATCGCGGCGCCTTCGAGCAGGCATATGTGGGCTTCACCTGGCTCTGTCGTCGCTTCTGGCACAGCGATGAGCCGGCCCTAAGCCAGCTGCCGCCCAAGTGGATGGAGGAGGCAATGCGTCTGGTCACTGGCATGGGCGACAAGGAGCTGTGCTCCACACGTCGCAGCGCCGGCATGCCCTACATGCTGCAGGCGCTGATCTGCACGGAACTGAAGCTGGGCACCCACAACACCTTCAAGCGGAGCATGTCCTTGCTGCTGGAAGTGTGCGAGCGTCGCGAACTGGGCGCTGATGCGGCCATTGCACGCAGCCATGCCATGAATATCATGCGTGCGCTCTTCCGCTGCAGCGAACTGGCCGATGTGGTGGGCGATTTTGTGGGGCGTGGCATTGAGTGCGCCCTGGAGAGCGTCATGGCGGAGGAGTGGAACGAACGCAACAGTGCCACACTGATGCTCTCAGCGCTGATGGTGCGCGTCTTTGGCGTGGAGCGCGCTCGCTCCGACAGCGGCGAGCTGCACGTGCGCAATCGCATGACCGGACGGATCTTCTTTACGCGCTATCCCAAGCTCTTTGATTACTTCCATGCGAATCTGAAGAAGGCAGCCGAACGCTGTCGCGCATCGCCAAAGGGGGGCCAGACGGTGCAGTTGGAGGCCATGCTGCAGCTGCTCTATCGCCTCTATCCATCCTCCATGGAGGGAACCGAATCTAGCCTGAATGTGTGTGCCACATATATATCTATATATACATATATTTATCTATATCTATATCTATAACCATTTCCGTTTTCTTTTGCCTTTTAGCTCAGCGTCTTTGTGCCCTTCCTGGAGGCGATCACGTGCGTGAACGATAGTACCACACGATATCGCAGCTGCGAGGTCTTAGCCAACTTTGGGAACACCACCTTGGCCTTTGAGAGCATTCGCCGCATTTCAGCGATGTTCAGTGTGATCAACTTCAAGCACAAGAGAGTGAGTGTCTTCTCAGAATATTTCTAGACATTTCTATATTGCGTACAGCTGCAGGAGTATTTATTACTTATTGCTTATCTGTGGGAATAATTGTAACTTGCATAAGCACAAAGGACTCTGGGAAAATGGGAAAATCCTTGTTCTTATATATACCTTGACTGACTGCATATACTACTATAGATTTAATATAATCTATCTATTTAATAATCTAAGATGAGAATTCCATCAATAGATCTCTTCTGTTGATTTCCTCTCTTTAGCATATACATGGTTTAAATTGAAAGAAAAAATTCTATTGCAGATTTTCGGGTAGATCAACGACTCCTGTTTCACATATAAGCTTGTAGAGGGTATACGAACTATGTATATATTATCAAGTCAAGAGTATCAAGTCGAGTACTTTTAGTTTTCATTTTAGCTCTTCTCTTCTTAGCCATGTTCTCTTCTAAAACACAAATCTACTTTCATTATAATAGTAAAAGTTCTTCTCTTTCAACACTTCGATATAATATCTTTATAATCATGTTTTCCAGACTTCGATCTAATATAATTATGATTACAAGAATATAATTTTTATTTTACTTTTTTTTATATACAGTTAACTTATAATGTAAAATTATATAAAAATCTAATATTTAGCCAGTTAACCAGTTAATCTCTATCCAGACTCCCATCTAATATCATTATGATATTATCATTAGATAATCAAAGTTCTCCCAACACTTCTTAAGACTATATTATCAAACCTTTGTCTGCCTACTCCTGCTGGATAAGCATTTCATTTAATGCAATATTGATATTAATATAACATCTCTATATATGCTTGCAGGGCGAACCCTTGCCCAAGAACATTAATCTACTGCACGGCAAGGTGTTGCAGCTGAAGGAGCTGTACCGCGTTGCACGCTGGCAGGATGTGCGCCTGACCTGCACAATGATGTATATGATGTCTGTGATCGCTGTGAAGATGTTGAGCCACGATATGTTCATCTTTCGCACCATAGTGATGGTGTTGACGGACGCGTTGGCGGATCTGCAGGAATGCAAGCATATTGGGGCAGCGGTGCTCAATGCCTTGCTCGCCATCTATGAGCTGAATCATTTGGCGATCTATCGACACTGCGAGGAATATACCGTATCGCCGAAGTTCTTTGCGATTTTCGCCCTGCATTTGCACCGGCTGACCCTGCAGCCGGATGGCCTCCTGGAGCACATGTTTGAGATGTTGGTGCGACCGGATAATGTGCCATCGAAGCTGGAGCACGTGAAGATCGACTTGTGGCTGTATACGCTCATCCATCAGGCCGCCTCGGGCACCAAAGCACGTGGCCTTATCGAACCCTTCGAGCTGAAGCATTTCGATTTCGATCCGGATGTGGTGACCTATTACAAGACGCTGTCGCGCAGCCAGCGCTCCAACCTGGCTACCCAATTGCGTCAATCAAAGGCGGTGCGGCTGCATGCGATGAAGATGGCCGGAATCATTGATCGATCGGCACATTGGGCGCCGGGCCTGTCGTGCCGTGTGTTCGCCTTCCTGGCCCTGCTGAATGACATCGATCTGTCGATGCTTCAGTTGTTGAATCGTGGCGGCTTCGATGCGGAGCCAGGCGTCACCATTTGCCTAACGCGCCTCATCATGGACAACGGCATGCTGAGCAGCTATCAGTATTATTGGGTCCCACTGATCCGTTACACTGTGCATAACTCGTCGCCCAAGAGGCCGGTCTATATGCGTTACAGATCCGCCCAGCTGCTGGACCGAATGACCGTGCATGTTCAGCAGATCATCCACTCGGATGATGCGTTCATGATTGGCAACTATATACGTCTGGTGCTGCAGCTGCTCGTCGATGAGTCGGAGATGGTGCGCAATTATACATCGGAATTGGTGTCCAGCTGCATGGGCCTCTATTTGGGCGGCGAGCGGGCGCTGGAGAGTGTCTTAGAGGTCAGTATGCTGCCCATTGAGGCGGAGAAGTTCTTTTTGGAGCACATGCTCGAGGCCCTTCAGCGCTACAAGACGAACGGCAATTTCCTGATCGCCTGTTTCAATTTGGTTGTGGAACCATTCGTCAGTGTCGAGCTCTTGTTCAATCGCACCATCGAAGAGGCGCCATCCAAGTTTTTCAGTGGCGATGACGAAGCCGAGGGCGAAATCTTCGATAAGCAGGAGGTCAATCAGTACTGTGAGGGATTGCGTATTGCTTCGGTCGTGGCGAAAAGTTTCAATGTCGCATTCCCAAATAATGAGGAGCTGATGAAGGCTCTCGATGCCGTGGAAAAACTGTGCTCATACAAAGGATTTACCGCGGAACCAATTCCTCCGAGAATCATCGCCTAAAACGTACACACACACACGCACACACACACACACACACACACAAAAAGCAAACACACGGAGGCTACACCATTAGTACAAACACACAGAGTGAAGGAAAGAAAGAATGAGAACAAGAAACTACAAGCTGCATTTAATTCCAATTGGAATTGTATTATAAAACACACGCATTTATAATGCACATAATACACTCACACAAACGAATATAATTAGAAAAATGATGTCGAAGACATTGCATTCAATCCCAATTGGAATGTTAGTATAAAATACTGCATTTTTAATATTTGAAAATCGTCATATATGTATAGATGATAGATAGATGTAGAAATCATTTCGTTTCTGTTTGGCGCTCAACAAATTCTCTAATTCAAATTTCCCAAATCATGTGTTCTCTTTCTAACTCGCGCCAAGCTCATTGGTTTCTTTTCGACCAAAGGAAAGGAAAGAGGAAAAGAAAACATTTGTTTTTGTAGAAAATTTTGAGCTTATATCTTATATATATCATGTTTTGTCGTTTTACACAAATACTGTATTTAAATCAACAATCACTTGTTTAGAAACATTTAATATAAATAATGTGATCAATAATGCCGATTTAGTATACACAAATAAAATCAAAGCATTAAATTAAATTAATAAATATTTTTTTTTTATAATTTGTCCTTAAATTTACTTTTAAAAAAAATCAGGACTGTTCGATAATACAGTTAACAGTTATTTCCGTGCAGTTGACTGTATGGTGAAAATGCACTATCGATAGGCGTGCACTGCTATCACTGGCTTTGACAACATCCCAAATGGTTAGCGATGTATCGCTGTGTTTAGCCATCGCTAAAGAGAGCGCCAGTCTGATAAGATGCTCGTGAGCGTGTGTGTCGAGCGTCCGCGTTAAAAAATTTTTTCGCTGCGTGTGCGTGTGCTTTGGCAACGGCAGCTGCTGCTGTTATTCTTAAAAATTTTTGTTGTTTTTTTTTTCTAGTTTATTGAATTCTGAATGTGTAAATGCAAATAACAAGAAATGCATATAACTACTCTGCAAGGCAATTTACTTCCAATAAGAGAGTTCTTCTGCATCATTAAATTGTGTACGCAAGCGGGCGGGCGTTCGCCCTAATGCTCGTATTGTGTACATATGTGTATATGGCTGTGTGTGTGTGTCTGTTTGTTTCTGTTGTTGCTGTAAATTTGCTTGAAAATACAAATCTAAATTCCTACAATTTATAAATGTGATAAAATAACTGAGAGTTTTTAATAGAGCTCGGCTAATAGCACTCCAGTGTGTATCTTCATAGTTGAGTGTATGTGTGCGTGCGTCTGTTTTGTTGGTTGCGTTAATTTCATTTTTTTTCTTTTGTTGATGTTTTAGCAATGTGCCCAATGCCCACAATGTGTCTGTATATGTGTCTGTGTATGTATACGTGAGCAAACTACGCGCACAGTGTTGCCATATCGTCTCAATTGAGCGAGCGTAAACAAATATCTTGTAACTTTTTAACTTACTTGCATATGTGTGCGTGTGTGTGAGAGAGATTTCGTCTGTGCGTGTGCGTGTGCGTATCTGTGAATGTGTAATTGTGTGTACGTGAGTGTTGGCGCATTTGCATAAAACGCTTGCAACAGCCGCTGCTGCCGCCGCCGTCGTCGTTGTAATGCATAAATTATGACAAAATCTTTTTTGAATAAAAAAAAAAAAAAATAAACGTGTTCGTTTATGTCGAGTTACTAACAAAAAAAAGTGTTGCATATTTTATAGGCCATCAAAATGCAAGATCACTGAGAACAATCACAATCAAAAGAGTATCAAATCAAAATAATAAAAACAAAAACAATTACTTAAAGTTAACAAATTCATAAATTGCAAGAGCACAGCGCCAACGCCTAAGCGGCTCATCAAGCAAATGGCGCTGCTGCTGCCAATGCCTAGAAATGGTTTTGGCTTAAACTGTTACTGGTATTCCCAGCTTACCTAAAACGAAAACAACAAAAAATATTACACGCAAGAAAAAAAAACTATAAACAAACAAACACTGAGTGCGATAGAGACGGAGTGAGAAAGAGAGCGCGCGCGCCCGCCCGCCCGCCAGCCAACCGCAAGGAAGGCGCGAGTGCAAGCGAGCGAGAGCTTAAGGTAAATATCTCTGCATGTAACTGTAACTTTAGAGCTTGACTTGCAGGCTTACACACATACACACACACGCGCACATCGATGTCAAATGTGTCTGCGTGTGTGTTAGGTGAAGAGAGATCCAGCTTAAGCCAGCGCAATTGCCTGAAAGCCAAATCCAAAATTATCTGCTTACTATAATGTAGTATTATTAAGGCATTATGAGGAGCTACTAGTAAAACAGGTGTTAATTAGATTAACAGGTATTATTTGCATTACATTAAATACATTCATTTAGATTCTGCTATCTTCTAAGCGATGCTTATCTTAATGTTAGGCTATGATATACTACGTATCAAGTAGATAGGCCTTATGTAGATGATTAGGAATCTATGTATGTATATGTATATATGCATGTAGTGCTGTATATACAGCATATAGTTTTATATAAAAGTGTTCATGAAAACAGTAGTACACATATATGTACATATACGTTATATATAACATGTATTTATATATATATTT